GACCTGTATCACAGCTTGGCTTCTCCTTTGGCCAGCCTTCTTCCTTCCTCCTTCTTTCTACAGGTGTTGGCCTCAGGAACACTCCTTCACAAACCTCCTCCTACACATCAACCTTCATCTCTGGGTCTACTTCCTGGGGATCCAGCTGTGGCAGTAAAATGACCATTTTGCAGATAAGGAAATAGAATCTTAAGAAATCACTTGCCAAAGGTTAGAAAGCCATTTATTAGTGAAGCCAAGATTCAGACTCTAAATCTGCTGACCTCCAGCTTCTCTTCCTTTCTCCTTAACTCTCCAAATCCTCCCTCTCTATGAAGGCCAAGGCCAAGTTCCCTCTTCTCCCAGAGGCCTCCCCACTTCCCCTTTCCAACCTCAGAGCTCCCACCATCTGTTCTGTTTGGCACATGACTGTGGTTCCACTTGGGGACTTCTCTTAACCATCACTTCACATTATATAACCATTGTGTTGTCATTTAACTTTTTACATTTGAAGTTTGGTGCTTCCTCTACATTATAATCTCTCTGGTGACAAATGTCATTAACTGTTCCTCTTTGCATCCCAACAGTTGCCATCCACGTGCTGAGCACGCAGCACATCACTTTGCAGTGAAAGAGCAGCAGGATTCCCTTTCTCTGGCTTTGTTCTAAGTCTCAGAAGCTGAGAAAACACAACATGCTTAAATGATACACAGCTATGCAGCCTCAATTTCCTTTTTCTCTTTTCTGGTATAGGAACTCATGACATGGAATACAAGGGGATAGCAGGTTATTTTTCAAGAGGAGCAATGCCATCATGGGGAAGTAGCCTAAACTGCATTGGCACACACTGAAAAGTTGAGCCAGAAAATACTTGGTCAAATTCAGTCAAGCAATAAGAAAGAAAATAACATACCAGGAATAAACCACTAGACTGCATCTTGGTCAATTGTTTTGGCAAAACTACTTTCATTTTAATTATTTAAAGCATTTCATAACATTCTAGGAAACGGGGTATCATGTACTTTGCCAAAGTAATGAAATCTTAGATTAAAAATCTGATACCATGTTATTAACTTTTAAGGGTGACATAAGCAAACCGCTTTTCTTCTCTTTAAAGATTATAAACTGGGAGATTAGCAAACCCTTCTACATCATCTCCTAGCAAGGAAAGGTGCAGGAAGGCAGAGGCAGGAAAGATTAGTCTGAATTACCTTGCTTCCAATTTCTGGGAATTGCTTGTTGCCATGGTAATTGTTACTGTATGACCACTCTGGTATAAGCAGGACTTGAAAACAATAAGTTATCTAAACATATTAAACAGCTTTAGGTTTGGATAATTTTCAGCATTTTTTCTCTTTTGCTTTCAAACATTAGCCTGGATGATGATGCACTCTATGGCAAGAACAATATAAATACAAATCAACTGAAAAATAATTCTTGCTAAACTTCCCTAACTATTCAACCAGCATATATATATATATATATATATGTATATATACCTATATGTATATATAGGTATATGTATGTGTGTGTGTATATATATAGTATATGTGTGTATACATATATATATGAAGTGAATTTTGGAAAGAAGTTTCTAAGTTGGAACACCTATAGTAGGGGTCAGCAAACTATATAGCCCACAAGTCAAATCTGGCCTGCCACTTGTTTTTGTATCTCCTGAAAGCTAAAGAATTGTTTTTACATTTTTAAATGGCTGAAAAAAAATTTTTAAATAATATTTTGTGATACCTGAAAATCATATGAAATTCAAACTTCAGCCCCCAAATAATGGTTTATTGAATGACAGCCATGCATATTTATTCACATATTATCTATGGCTGCTTTTGTGCCACAACAGCAGAATTGAGTAATTGTGACAGAAACTGTATGTCCTGCAGAGCCTAAAATATTTACTGTCTAGCTCTTTACAAAGAAAGTTTACCAACCTTGTTCTAGAGACATGATTTGTACAGAGTAAGTTAGATTAAGAGACTGGGTGTCTCTCCTTTGTCAAAAATTCTGTAACAGGAGCCTTTGATGGAGATTCAAGTCTTTTCAACTGAGCTGTTGCCTGTTGCATTCACCATGGCATGTAGGAAAGTATATTTGTGGAGAACAAGTGGAATAGCATCTGCTATGGTTTGAATGTTTGTGTCCCCTTCAGAACTCATCCTGAAACTTAGTCCCCAATGCAAAGGTATTAAGAGGTGGGACCTTTTAGGAGGTGAACAGGCATTCATGGAGGAATTAGTGAACTTATAAAAGGGTTGGAGGGAACTAGCCAGGCCCCTTTTACTTTTCAGTCACTTCTGCCATGTGCGTACACAGCATTCAAGATGCCACGTTGAAGCAGACCAGAGCCTCACCAGACACTGAATCTTCCAGTACCTTGATCTTAGACTTCTCAGCCTCCATAACTGTGAGCAATACATTGACACTGTTTGTAAATTACCCAGTCTCAGGTATTTTGTTAGAGCAGCACAAATGAGCTAAGACCAAAATTGGTGCTAAGAAGTAGGGTGTTGCTATAACAAATACCTAAAACTGTGGAAGGAGCTCTGGAACTGGGTAATAGATAGAGGCTAGACTGTAAAGGGCCATTCTGATGAGGGTTCAAAGGAAGAGGAGAGCTGTAGAGCCTGAGGCTTCTCAGAGATTATCTAAGGTTGTGAACAGGAGGTTGGCATAAATATATATGGACAGTAAAGACTATTCTGAGGTGGTCTCAGATGGAAATAGGAAATATATTATTGGAAACTGGAGCAAAGGCCATCCTTGTTGTGAAGTGGCAAAGAACTTAGGTGAACTATGTCTGTGTCCTAGTGCTTTGTGGAAGGCAGAACATGTCAATGATGAACTAGGATATTTGGTGGAAAAAATATCTAAGCAAGTGTTGAGAGTGTTGTATGGTTTCTCTTGACTGCTTATAGTAAAATTCAGGAAGAAAGAAATGAATGAAAAACAACTAATAATCAAAACGGAAGCAGAATTTTAAAGTAAAATTCTCAGCCTGCCCATATAAAGAATAAAACAGCATGTTTGGGGAAGCAAATCAAGGGTGTGGACAAGTGAATGTTTGATAAGGAGATTAGCATGAATAGAAGAAAGCCAGATGTTATTCATCAAGCTAATGGAAGAATGACCCCATAGGCATTTTATAGATTTTTAAAGTTGCTATTCCCATCACAGGCCCAGAGTGCCAGGGACTTGAGGGTAGAATGGTTTTAAAGGAGAGGCCCAGGAAGCCCATGGGATCTTGGGGCTTGCTGCCCAGCACCACCTCAAGTTTCTGCTCCATGCATTTGAGTTCAATGTTCCTTGGCCACCCAAGGAGGTGTGGGTCCAGGAGTCCCAGGTGTGGCTAGGGCTGCCATTCTAGATAGCATAAGTGGTAAACCTTGGCAGCACCTGTACAGTGCCATCTCTGCAGGTGCACAGAGTAGAAGAGTTGTGGAGACATGGCTACCTCCACCTAGATTTCAAAGGATGATTCAGGGAGATTTGGGGCCCAAGCAGAGAACTGCCTGCCACAGGGGTGGGACCACCACAGAGAGTCCCCACAGGGGCAATGCCTAATGAAGCTGTGAAAGCAGGGCCACCCCCAAGACCCAAGACTGTAGAGTCACCAGTATACAACTCCAGCCTGGGAGAGCCTTGAGACAAGACTCTAACCATGAGAGCTGTGGTGTAGGCTATGTCCAACAAAGCTCTGGGGGTGGTGTTGCCCAGAGCCTTGGGGATCCAACCCTCAGGCCAGGGTGTCTGGAAGACAGGACATGGAGTCAAACAAGGCTATTCTCAAGCCTCAGGATTTAATGTTGTTTGCCTTGTTAGGTTTTGGACTTACTTGGGACCAGCTACCCCTTTCTTCTTTCCTATTTCTTCCTTTTGAAAAGGGAATATCTGTCCTATGACTGTCCCACTATTGTTATTTTAGAAGTACATAACAGCCTTTGATTTCGCAGGCTCACAGCTGGAGCAGGAATTTGCCTCCAGATGAATCACACCTTTGATTCTCACCCATATATGATTTAGATGATATTTAGATGAGATTTTGGACTCCAGACTTTTGAGTTGATGCTGAAAATAGTTAAAAGACTTTTGGGGCTACTGGGATGGAATGAATGTACCTTGTATGTGAGAAGGACATGAATTTTGGAAGTCCAGGGGAAGAATATTATGGTTTAAGTGTATACATCCCTTCAAAATTCATATGTTGAAACTTAATTTCCAATATAATAGTATTAAGAGGTGGGGCCTTTAGGAGATTGTTTTAGTCCATTTTCTGTTGTTTTGACAGAATACCACAGACTGGGCAATTTATAAAAGAAAAGAGATTTATTTGGCTCATGTTTCTGGAGGCTGGGAAGTCCAAAAATACGGAGCTGGTATCTGGTGAGGGCTTCATGCTACATTATCCCATAGTGGAAGGGCAGAAGGCATCACATGGTGAGTGAGCACAAAAACAAAGAGAAAATGGGAGCCAAATTTGCTCCTTTATCAGGAGATGACAGCCTTAATCCATTCGTGAGGGCTGAGCCTTTATGGCCTAATCATCTTTTAAAGACCCTACTTCTTAATACTGTTACAATGGCAGTTAAATTTCCAATATGTGAACTTTGGGGTACATATTCAAAGTATAGCAGAGGTGATTAGGTCATGAGGGCTCCTCCCTCCTGAACAGAATTAAGGCCCTTATAAAGGAGGCCTCACATAGTGATCGGTTCTTTTCACCCTTCTGCCTTCCACTATGGGAGGACACAGTAACAAGGCACCATCTTAGAAGCAGAAAGCAGCCCTCACCAGATCCAGATCCAGAAATTACTCATTCCTTGATCTTGAACTTCCCAGCCTTCAGAGCTATGAGAAATAAATGTATGCTTTTTATAAATTACCCAGCTTCAGGTATTTTGTTATAGGAGCACAAATCAATTAAGACAGCATCACATGTCTGGATCACCCACTTGGTGAATATATCCCAACACTGCACCCTCCTAGGGGTCAGACAACACATTACTTACTCCCTCATGTGTTTCATCTTGGTCCCAGCCATCACGCTGTTGAGAACTGTTGGTCCTGGAGATACGTCTGCGGCTGCACTGGTGATGGTCCTTGTTTCTGAAAATCAATGCACAGCCCTTACTGACTTCATCAGCACTCCTGCAACTTTCAGGCAACATCCAAGGGCAATCAGAAAACAGAAGCTAATCCACGTTTGCCACGTGGTAATGCTACATTAATTAGAGATGAATTCAATTATAACATGTACAGTAAGAAGATTTATTCCAAATGACAAGATTATTTACAGCTTTAATATGCACAATGAATTTCAGGACCAAGCCTCTCTCAAAAAGGATTGTTTAAAAATAACACCATTATTTAAAAAAGATGAGCTGTTTATATCAGAAAACTCAGGGGGAAGTGTATCTACAGAAAAGCAAATGTTCTTACGGGGCTTTGGGCCATTCTCTTTCAGCAGGTGGGAATATTTGTTTAAATGACTAGGAATTTTTCTAATAAGCTTAGTTTTCCTTTTATCTTAATCTCATACCTGAGCATTAGCATTTTTTGCAACGGAAAGCAGAAAGCTGACCAGGGCTCATATCTGCAGCTCTAAACCCCAGCAGAATGAAGCAGAAGGTTCAGAAGGTAAAGAGTTGGTAATGAAAGCTGTGGTGTTATGAAATCTACTGAGAGAGCTACAATTTTTACTGAAATACCCTCGAGGTCTTTATAAAACTGAAGGTAAAGAAATAGTTTATCAACTGAAATAACACTGCTTCCCATTAAGAAGCTAAAAGTGAGAGTTCAGGGTAATCCATAGAGCTGGATTTACAATTTGGCCCTTGGGCTGCCTTTTCCTCCCTATGCATTTCCCTGGCTCTCCCACAAGGTGCCTCAAAACCATCAGTTAAAAACTTTGTCCACTCTAATACTTATTTATAAATTATATCCATGTATTTGCTATGTGAGAGAGAAGGGACGCATACTGTGAAACTCCTGGTCTTTTCTCAATGGATCTCATATAACATGTGACTGTCTGACTTTGAGACTATCCAAAGAAGTATGGTCCAATCCCCATTTTACATATTACTAGAGTTTTATTTCATATATATATATACATATATATATATACACACACACACACATACACACACACACACACACACACACACACACACACATATATATATATATTTGAGACAGAGTCTCACTCTGTTACCCTGGCTAGAGTGCTATGGCATCAGCCTAGCTCACAGCAACCTCAAACTCCTGGGCTCAAGTGATCCTTCTGCCTCAGCCTCCCAAGTAGCTGGGACTACAGGCATGTGCCACTATGCCCGCCTAATTTTTTCTATTTTTGGTAGAGATGGGGTCTCGCTCTTGCTCAGGCTGGTCTCAAACTCCTGAACTCAAATGATCCTCCCTCCTCGGCCTCCTAGAGTGCTAGGATTATGGTCATGAGCCACCGCGCCCAGCCTATTTCTTATATTTTTAAATTTGAAAACTCAAATGCAAATTCTAATATATTTCATTTCTTTTGCACTACCCCTTAGGGCATGCATCCCACTTTGAACTTCTTGCTTGTATAGATATCATTGAGATGACTGTTCTCCTGCTTAACTCTTTGCAAACATCTCTCATCTTTCCTCAGATCCCTAGTCATGGAGTTACTGGATCAACAGGTATGAACTTTTTAAAGGGCACATTACAAATAAACAACTTGCCTTTCCTAGTACATCATAGTTGTGCCTCCATATTAAAGACACAAGTATCAGTGACTGGTTGCTCCCATTTCTCACCTGGAGATGACCCCTTCCACACCTGGAGAGAAAACCTGCCTCAGCCCTCACTGTCACTGGACACCAGCCTTATGTCAGCTCCCCCTCTCCCACCTTCCCACCAGCTTTGGCCGGGACAGACCTTCCTCAGGGAAAGCTTGAGGACTGGGCAGGAGGAAGGCACAGGGGTTCAATTGATATTCATGTTGGTTGCTTTTTACAATCATCTTGCCCAGAACCTGAAAAGTTACTAAACTACTACACTGTGCCAGGTAACCCACTTGACACCTCAAATATCAGTTCTGCCAAGAACAAAAGGTAGATGCTCCTTTCCCACCTTTTCCAGAGAGAGCTTGCAAGCACTTGGAAGCTTGCAAAGGCTTATGCAAATAAAGGTCAAAGCAATTTCCAGGAGAGCTGCAATTTATTTTAAGCTGGCCACCGTTCCCCTCAATAAGGCTCTCAGCATTGCCAGGGAAGATGCTAAGCCTTGAGCCCAAGGGTAGAAAACAGAGCAAATACAATTTCAAGAAAGGTTGGCAAAGCTTGGTGCTCAGAGTAATTCTTTTTTCAGTGTTTCTTACTGGCCAGCATTTTTTCCCCTCTCCATCCTACCTTTCAATATGAACAGCAGTTGCTTTATGTAAAAAAAAAAAAAAGAAAAAATAAAAAGAAAATTAACAATTATGATAAAAACAATTGGGACTAGAATCAATAGACATCATCTAATAGGTCATTGAATCCCAGAGTGTGTTTTAGTTCATTGTTTCTCCATGAGGATTCTGCTTTTGTAGGTCTGGGTAGGGCCTGAGATTCTGCATTTCTAACAAGTTTCTAGGTGATACCAATGCTGCTGGTCCTGGAACCACACTTTGAGCAGTAAGGTTCTAGACAGGCCAGCTACATAATTTGTGGGGCCCAGTGCTAAATGACAATGCAGGAACCCTGTTCAAGAAATAAGAGAAAAGCTGTTTTCTTCTGCAGGCTCTCTCTGGCCCTGTCATGGTGTTTTTTACTGCTGATTTAATGTCATTCTCCCTCTGGAATTAGGATATATACTCTCAAGGGGAGTACCAGACATTGATGAGGGGCCTGAGGTGTCCTACTTGACCCCAACCCTTCCCCGCCATGCCCACCCAATGGGGCTGGAGGGTGGCAGTGGTCACAGGGTGGAGGTTGGGAATGGGTGGCGGAGGACTCATCTCAAGGAGGTGGCCCTAGGCAAGACAGCACCTGAGCAAGGCTTTAAGCCCCAGGCATGTGTTCCCTTGTCCCATCAGATTTCACTCATAAAACACAAATTCAAAGATAAAATTTCATTAAACCCCAAGTGTAGGTAGGGTTTCTTCCTGAACTTGGAGCCCTGTGTCACCACACTGATTACATACCCATGGAGACCTGGTTCCAGAGCTGTGCTTTCTTAAAGGTTCTGTTCAAAAATCGATGAATCCTTAACCCCCATGTTGATTTTTTTTCAATTTAATTTCCCCTTTATTAAAATACTACCAAACCAAATCCATCAACATAAAAAAGGATTATATACCTTTTTTTCTAAGATCAGGAAAGAAACAAGAACTTCTTTTCTTGCCATTTCTATTTAACACTACACTAGAGGTTATAGCCTGGGAAATTGGGCAAGAAATAGAAAGGAATCCATATTGAAAAGGAAGAAGTAAAATTATCTCTATTTACAGATATTATGATTTTATATATAGAAAATTCTAAAATAGGCTGATTCAGATTTTCTATTTCTTCTTTTTTTTAGGTAGATGTTCCAATTTTAATGGAAATATTTTTGCTATTTTACTATTAAACATAATGTCACCTCCTGATTTAATACACGTTCATTCTGTTTTGCCCCCAAGTGGGTGTTCTGCAATACAATTCCAATACTAACACCTCAGAGTTACCATAAGACCCCAGAAATATAAAGGCTCAGTTCTTCTCAAGACAGCCCTTATTCCAGACTCCAGCTGCATCTTGGGTAGCTACCAGGCCACCAGCACTTCCAACAAACTGTCAGTTCCCATGAACCCCTCAGGTTTGATAATTTGCTAGAACAACTCAGGAAACTGCTATATTTATTGTTGTGAGAGTCTTTTATAAAGGATACATGTAGGGTGAGGTTTGGGAGAGGGTGAAGAGCTTACATGTCATCTCTACATGGTGTGAACTAAAATAAAATCCTAAGATGCCCCTTCCACTGACTGAATGGACCCCTCTCAGCAAAGTAGACCTCAGAGAAATTTTACAACTAAGTTCACAGCCATGACAGGATGGGAGGTCAGACACACCTCATTATACCCCCTCCCTTGCTAATGGCCATCGTGCTTTTTTCCCTAAGGACTAAACAGAAACCAATCTTGTGATCCACTCCTCCCTATTTATGGTTTCAGCACTACAACTGACCAGCGTTCTTTTCTGAGAAGAGACCACCAACCACAGAGAGTTTTAACCAGTCTGTGGAGTATAGAGTATGCATAGGAACAGTTTTCATGTCCTTGCTTCACCATTTGACATCAGAGATGTTACCATCCTCTGTCCTCTGAGAGGAGGTTCTTTCGGGTTCTTGGTGATCATCAGAAGAAAAGAATTTCAGTATTCACCATATAAGCCAAAAGCAAGCAGGTTTTATTGAAAGATTCAAAGTGAAACTAGGAGAGAGAGAGAGACAGGGACAGAGAGAGAGAGAGAGAGAGAGAGAGAGTGAGTAAGCGCCAGCAGGCTTGAAAAGAGCAGCTACACCAAACAGAAGGGGGTTTTGGTCTTATGAAGTCTCACTAATTGAGGGAAAGAATATTCAAGGCTAAGGGGTTGGTTCTTACTAAGAATTTGGGTAGTAATTCTAGAATTGGATTTCCTCACATTTTTATATTTTGTATAGTTGTTTGGAACTGTAATCATGATTTTAAGGGCACAGAAATTTTAAAACAACAATGTGAATGATATCATAATTAGCCAAAGTTCATGTAAGATGACCTAGATAGCTGACAAGCCAGATGAAGCTGGTTCTTGTCTGTGATTATCAACCCCCCTTAGTTAGACTTTAACATCAGCACCTGCTCTGCAAGCCTCTGCATTCGGCTTCTAGTCCAGAAATCTAGTTAGCTTCTGTCTGTGGGTTGTTCACTTAAGAACATGTACCCTACGCTGCAAGCTTCTGCCTCCAATCTCAGCCCTGTCTCCTAGTCTCCTACTCTAACAAGAGGGCTGCCATTTTAAACATGGACTCCATAAATGGGCATAAAGTTCAATTGCTCATGTGCACGTTTCTCCTTTCATAAATATTCATGACTCCTCCTATAGCTTGTTAAATATCTATATTGGCCACCTGCT